GTGGGAGGGAACAAGCGAGGGCCTTCATACGTGTCAGCGCGCATCTGCCTTCTGAGGGGGGGCTCTTTTGCTCCGCGACCCTCTGCGCCGGTAAGAATCCCCACGCGCACATTCACACCCGTTCCGGGCTTCACTGTGGTCGCACGCAGACGAAATATCTAAACACTCGCATTCTCTCAAGCGCACACAGGGTCACATAAACGCCTCTTTTCAAACGGGATGTCATGTCAGTCACACTCTCAGTTGTTTGCAAATGCCCACCAATGGCGGAAAGGACTGTTTATTTCTCTTTTTTAAACAAGTGACCACACACACGCATACACACACACACACACACACACACACACACACCCCCAGCAGAGTTTTTTTTTATTTTTAATGTATGGGCCTTTCACTGATCGGCGTTCCCACAGTGCGGCAGGCTGAAGAGAACGTAGTGGAGTGTGTGCAAAGCGAAGTGTAATCAGGAGCCGGAGTGAAAGGCGGTCATTAGCGAGGGACGTCAAGTTATCGGGCTCAGACGGGCGATATGACCCGGCAGCGCTCCAACAAAGGAATGCGTCCTGTTTGCACAGTCGATATGTTTACAGTGGAGGGAGAACGGATCGGCCAGCTGGCACGGCCCAGTGGCCGGCCCTGCGAATGAAAAACCCCTTTCACACAAATGAAGATTAATATTTGGAACTGGGCCTCCACAGGTTCTATCTGTCTCTGGCGTTCTTGTGGCGTGACGCATATTTACACTCGGGTGGCAAATTTATGAATTGATCCCCGAGGTCATACGTGGTAGTCGCTCTCACCGTGACTTTAAACAAACACGCCATGTAATGAAAAATCTCAGAGAGAGAGGGGGGGAGGGGGGGGGGTCTCCTGCTCCTAAAGATCCACTGCCTTGCTCACTGCCATCCATCGAAGGTTTGCCCCGTAATCCGAGACCTCCCGCACACCAGGAGGCGGCGTTTGCTGGCGACGATGGCAATCGGACACGCCGGGCAACCGGAATCACAAACACTTCTGTCCTTTTTAGGTGCTTTTAGATCCATTGACATGAGCGCAGTTTGGCGCTTCGCTGTCCCGCACTCGGGCCATCAATCAGGAGAGGGAGGCTGCGCCAGCCGACACCACCGCCGGGGGGGGAGGGGGGCAGAAGAAGGGAGGACTCGGCGCACCGCTGGGAGGGAGACTTGACCCGTCTGTTATCAAACGCATTAGAATAAGTGAACTGACGGGTTCTTTGCTCTCTGGTCGAAGGACGGGTGATTTCCTTTTTACCGATTTCTTCCTCATGAATCGAACCGCTTAAACAAGTGGAGATTCTCGTGTCTCTTCACGCCGACGGATCTTCTATTGTTTCATCGCATCAAAGGAGAAACCCCGGCAACATCTGCCAGCTGTTTGTGTGCAGCATTCCACTCACAGACACGTGTCTCCTGCTTTTATCTCGCACCTCCGCTCCAGATAGTGTGAGCTAAACATTGCTATTTTGTCAGTGACAGGCGTGACGTGAAGGAGATCTTTTTCTAAACACTTGTATTTCGCCGCGACCCCCTGAAGGTGTTGTGCGTCGAGATGTTTTACATCAACCTTTTCACTCCATCCATCTGTTGACACGCGCGTCGTTTCATCTTTTCTTCCTGTTTTTAGCATTAAAGTGAAATCAGCTCAACGTGCGAGATGATGCGTGATGATCCTTTTTATATCTGTACTGGTGTGGTATTTGTGCTGGTTACAGACCACCAGCCGCCCGTCCCTGATTACCGCAGAGTCCGCTCAGCCGCCTCTCTTTCTCTGCACAATCTACACATTCCTTTTCCTGGCGCTTCAGGGTCATCTTACTGCGTCTCTTCTTACTTTCCCGGTTCACCAGTGTGTCTACCGTTAAACTCACCTCGAAATAAACCTTAATCTGCCACAGCAGCTTTGTTGTTTGTGTGTTGTGACTAGCCGGGTTGCGCGCCAGGTCTGTTTTCTTCTTTCATTTGACTTCAAACCGCCGTCAAGCGAACGTCTGCCAGCGCCGCAGCGTTGACTTCTGAGGGAAGCTTAATCTATGCAAATCTCTGGGCTGCTTGTTTGTCAAGTGCTTGATCAGAGACACTTCGCTGTTGGTGGGAGGGGGGGGGGGGGCTTTGAGAGCTCTCATGCTTCTTTCTTTTTAAAGCAGACTTGGCTCGCATGCTGTGAAACCCCCCCACCTCCTCACCATGGATGATTGAGTCTGCAATTTGACTGCAGTGTGCAAACAGGTGACATTCTGACAAGTGATGACTTGGTCTTATTGTTGGGTTGAGCCTGTGCACCTGGGAGGTGTGTGTGTGTGTGTGTGTGTGTGTGTGTGTGTACGCGTGCCTTGTACTTAGGCACACACTCGCCCTTTCGAGTAAACACAGCAGACGCAGTGTGTAGTTGTTGTATCACTGCCATCTGACCTTCACTGCACTTCCTGTTGTCCTCATAGAATGATAGGAAGTGAGGGGTTGATAACACACACACCCTCTCCCACAGGGAACACAAGGAGCAGCCGGTGCAGGGCTCATCGTGTACGGTTATCAGGTTTTACGCGTTCGTTCTCTTTTTATTCCCAATATCCACTGAGTGAAATCCAACATTTTGCACACTTGGAGTCCCAGTGAAACGTGAGTCAGAGCGTCGTAAACGTCTGCGCTGTGACCTTCTTCACAAAGCACACTTATGAGATTCGATTGGACCTCTAGAAAATGGGAAAGCTTTGCGCAATATGCAGCCACGGAGGACCGCTGGCCCCTCCCACTCCTCCCACCCGCTCACCTGTTGTTATGACGACCGGAGCACAGGGGCGAGACAGACGGGATTGAAAATAATATATTTTTTATTAATGAGTCATCAAACATTTTAATCTATTTGACAAAAAAGGTAAAGCAAGAGATTCAATTTTTTTTATATGTATAATTATAATAATTTAATCAATTAATTAATTGTGTCTTTTCATGATTGATGGCGGCAGCAACAGCAGTCAGATTCTATAGCTTCTGGTTCTGTCCCACAGACGCCTCTCTCCATCTCTGATACTGAGCCACGCGTCATGAAGGACCAGTTATGCTACTCTGCTCCACTCATTAGTGCACAGCAGAGGGCACAAAAAACATAAAGCGGATGATGTGTCACCGAGCTGAAAATGACCAAAGAGGCGTCGTGTCATCACACCATCTGAGCGCGAACATTGATACATAGTTCACGCCAAATATATGTCGACGCCTTCTTCCTGCAACAGGCCTCACCGACGACAATAAATATATTGAATAAGTGTGTACGGCGCATCCATTCCCCCTTTACAATAACTACCATTCTAGACTAAGCTCATTTTTAATGGGACTGTACATCAACACACCTGACACAGCTTGTTGCTAGAAGCTGCAAACGCCCGACTGTCACACCGGCTGATTACAGTCAATGTGCCTCCACTCCATCTTTCTGAGACCTCCAGACCAACCTGCTGCAGCACTCGGGCCCCCGCAGGTCTCCGCTGCCCTCACTCACTCTAACACATGGCGGCGTCGAGGGCGGAAACACGGGCTGAGAGGGATACTGATGCGAACCAGATGAGGTCCTTTAGACTTAAAAGGCCGGTGAGACGCGGCGCAGCGTTTTTGTTTCTCCGCCTATTTACTGTACAGGTGCCTCATATGAGGGAGGGGGGGGACAATGCACAGAGCGCTGTATTGCTTTGCACTATTTGTCTGGAGGCGGGCTGATGTTATTGGAGAATTTAGTGGATCCGTCTCTCTTTATGTGAGCAGCGTTGCGCCGCGCTCTGCCCCCCCCACTCCCTCCTCCTCCGGGCCCATGTCGGCTCTGCTCCGGCCACAAGGTGCGGCTCGCGCTCTCTCTCTCTCGCGCGGCCCGTGACCTCCCGACACATTTCCTGACCCAGGAAATAGAATTAACACCTCGGCTCGCGGCCCCACAGTCCCACACACCCAGCTGTCCATTAGCTCGGCCCAGTCCCGTCGGACGCGGCTCAACCGGCTCGAGCAGGACATTTTCTTTACCGCGTCGATTCAACCGCCGAATTTCACGTCTTTGGGCGCCGGGAGGGTTTCAGTGCCGTTGGAATTCCGGCAGTAACTTGGGCCAATGGAGGAAGTGTCTATTTTTAAGGGTTGTGGGCGTGTCTCTCTTACTGCTAGTGTTGTGTGTTTGTCCTCACAATAGTAGCGTAACCGCACTGTGACTAAGCATCAGCTGTGGGGGCTCCTGCGGTGAATTGGACTGAAATACCTAGAAGACGACGGGCCAAGACCCCTTGCAGAGCAGCAACGCAATGACCTTTGGCCAAATAATGTACACCAAATGAAATGCCATTAATTCCACCAGGAGGGTTTATTTAATTGAATTTTTTATAACATGATGCCTTTCGGATATTAAGGACTGCAGTAAATCTAGCAACGGGTTTAAGTAGAGAAAAGTGCATTATCTGTTTATTAGATATTTTATGTGAGCCGTATATCACCCGAGATGCTTCTCGATGTTCTAAGTGCCTGATCTGTTTTCTTCATTAGTCAAAGGCTCTTCTGTAGGCAAGAAAAATGCACACATCTATGTATGTTTACCCGCTCTCACACACACACACACACATGCTCAATTGCACACACACAGATTAGCTAGTTCCTGCATTTAAGCACCCCATGTGTTTGCATTTTAGTCACACATTGCCAATCTCATGGGAGCACTTTGAAACATACTCCTCCAGAGCAGATCATAAAACAGGAGTATAAGTAGTTTTTCACATAGTTGTATCCCAGAACACCCAAAACCCACCCACCCACCACCTTCCACCTCCCGTCCGCTTCCTCTCAGAAGGGCAGGGTGAAGCCTTTGGCCCAGAGGTTTGCTCGTCCCGCATTGCGTCTCTCCAGATGTTGCCGAGAGAGAGGGAGGGAGAGAGAGAGAGAGACTCGTGGTGGAAGTCCTGTGAACGTGATCAAATCGCAGCGCACACTTCAGTTTGTTTGCACCTGCAGGCGGGCAGCACTGTAAACAGTCCCACCCAGGCGTTGCTGAAGGTGAAACATAATATGGTGGAAGGTGTGCAAGAACAAGCACCACTTAAAGTGGATCTCCTGTCTGACATCCAAAGTGCCCCCCCCCTCCCCCATTATATGGTGCATGTGTGTGTCTCCTGTATTGACCCACCGGTGTTTCTGTCTCCGCAGTACTTCGAGGGGCCCTTCGACTCCAACATGAACCGCACAAAGAACCGTCCGCTGGTCCGAGGACAGATCAGGTACTCCTTTTTAAAATAATATTATTATATATGTCATTTTCACTTGTGTGGGCCCGATGAGGGACTTTGATCTGATGTCGAGGTGCGTTTGCAGGCAACGTTCTAATGACCACACCTCCGAGGAAGCCGTAGCACGGAGCAAACATCCGCGCTGATTAAAACCCGTCCGTTTCCTGATTTAGGGACTGAGCTGCATGTAGAGTAGCTGCCAATAACTGAAGCGTTGCTGCTAAATTAACCCCAGCAAAGCTCCGACTCATTGACCGTCTCCAGCAGGCGCAGGTATTCACTGATGCATAAACAAAACAACCACCCAGTGTCAGTGCCAGGAGACGGGCTGCTTTCTTTCACATTTCGTTCTTACAGGAGAAGACCTTTGTCTCTTTTATATCATTTTACAGGAATATGGGCTTTTGCTTTCAGAATCCCCATAGCAACAGAACATTAATTTACTGGCTGAAAATGGCATGAAACTGTTCAGTGAGTTATTTTATGATCCAGTTAATCCAGCGCTGAGTGCACAACCATGTCCCCGCTAAAGTTTGCCTGATTCCTCTTCATGTCACTTAACCAAATGTAGCGGTTCCACTTGGCTTCTCTGCACAAATTGGTCGCATTAATTTGATATCATAATGGGATGTCTGGGACAATTATCTCGCAGGATTAGTCCTTTCCATTTATGTATTTCCCGACTGTCAGTACATTAACTGTGTATTCTGTGCATTCAGTTCTAAAAGCCTCCAGTGCCTGAAGGCCGCACATCTTTGCCTCCCTGTATACATCACATCACACCTCTGACGTAGCGGCTGCCCCCCCGGCCCCCCCTCGGAGTCAGCCCACAGCCACAGCCAGACTGTCGACAGCCCATAGGCAGCCTCCACCTCGTCCCCACATAAAACAGACACAACACCACTAATCACATTAATGCCCCAATCTCCCCGCGCGGCCACGCCACCAAAATAAAAGCCCTGTTTGACTTTTAGAAGAAAAGGGGCCTGCGTCTGGTCAAGTTTTTAATCTCGGCCGCTCTCTTTATTTTATGGAGCATTTACTGGGGAATTTAAACCAGACGTCGCCATCGCTGCTTTCAATAAAAGATGAGGGGAGGAGGAGGAGGAGGAGGAGGAGGACGAGGAGGCTAAAAAGCCTGAGCCTTTTCCTCAGCGAGTTTTGATCTCCGGCGTGTGCACGTGCTCTTTATCTTGCAGCTCTTTTATCCCTGACAAACTCTTATCAGATGAGCTTCCTCTAAGCCTCCCGTTTTGAGACTCGGCCCACTGTTTTTTGCTCACTGTTGGTGTGTGGCCCCCATGGGTGTGTGTGTGTGTGTGTGTGTGGGGGACATGTGGAGCTATCATTGTCTTATCTGGTGTCTGCACAAGCCTAAAAACTTTGTCCCATAGTGCCCATGTTATGGCACTTTAGGCTTTTGTCTGAGCCTGAATCTGGGTTTCCTTTCATCAAGAATCCCCCTCCCCCCCCAACCAAAACTTTTTTTAAACTTTCCTTTGTGCATTTTTTTTCCTTCTAATATTTTCTCCCCTTTTTCTGTTTCCCTCCTTGACGCCAGTCCCCTCCACGCCGTGTCCTTTGCGCTGGCGTGCGGAGTTCCCGGAGTGGCTCTGCTCACGCTGGCGGTAAACCCGCTGACGGGCTTCCTGGGGGGCCTCAACATCTTCCTCTACACCTGCTGCTACACCCCGCTCAAGAGGCACAGCATCGCCAACACCTGGGTGGGGGCGCTGGTGGGCGCCATACCTCCAGTCATGGGCTGGACGGCCGCCACCGGTTGCCTGGAGCCGGGTAGGACCGCGTGTTAATATATGTATATGTGTATATGTATATGGACATCCTCAGGTCGCATGTTTACCAAAAGCGAGACAGAAGAGTGCGCGTCTCTTGTCACTGACAAGCTGCCAGTCCGGTTGTGGTGGAGATTTATATCCAGAGTACTTGTGATATTGGTGTATTTGCTTGGTCTGAAGTAAATCACCTTTAAGTCTCCATAACTCTCGTCGTATGCAGACAGGAATGAACCGATCAGATATATCAACTCGTCGTGTCGCTTATCAGCTGATTTACGCTGATAAGAGAGCGTAACAGATAAATATAAATATATAAAATATAATTATATATATAATGTATCACATCATTTGTATATTTATACAAAGAGTTTAACCGTTCCTATCCATATTCATCCATACGCGTTTAGTCATATACAGACATTTCATATTCTGTATTTTTATTAACACTGTCAGCCGATATAAGTTCAAGGAAGAAGCCAAGAAGTGCCATCAAAATATCTCTAGTTGTGAAATAAGCAATAATGCTGTTTTTATTATTGTGGACATTTTTTTGTTTGGGGTAAAATAGCGTAGATGTTCTTAACTAGTTTTTGTAGTGTCAGAAACAATGTTTTTGATATGCTACATCGTTGACCACACGAGGTGAGTGTCAATGTGTATAAATACACCATAATATAAAGTACTGTCTTTAATTCCCATTATACAATGAAGAACAGTCACTTTTTATTCAAAGCTTCACAACATAAAACATTTAGTTCCCTCTTATATTTTGCACGCCAAGCATTTTAGAGTCCTGCTCCATCGCTGCCCTCCTTCACACCTTTCTCTCTCTCCCCCTCCTCCCTCACAGGTGCTCTGCTGATGGGTGGTTTCCTGTACTGCTGGCAGTTCCCCCACTTCAACGCCCTCAGCTGGAACTTGAGGGAGGACTACTCGCGCGGCGGCTACCGCATGATGTCCGTCACCCACCCGGGCATGTGCAAGCGCGTGGCCCTGCGCCACAGCCTGGGCCTCATCGGCCTGTCGACCGTGGCGCCCGCGTTGGGCGTCACCACCTGGACCTTCCCCGTCATCTCGCTGCCCATCAACCTGTACATCAGCTACCTGGCCTTCGTCTTCTATCGCCGGGGCGACCGCAGCAGCGCCCGCAAGCTGTTCTTCTGCAGCCTCTGGCACCTGCCCATGCTGCTGCTGCTGGCGCTCACGTGCAAGAAGCCCCGGGGGGGCCCGGAGGAGGCGGCGGCTCCGGCCCTCGCACTGCAGAGCTAGCTGGCTTCCAAGACGCCCCAAAACACTTTTCAATGCCTTCTGAGAGCTTTTGTTTTAACCGGGACGCTCTCCTGGGCGTCTTCCTCTTAACCACTCGTCGGGGTCCTCGCGACCGTTTTATCCGTTTATTTAAAGCCTCTCACTGCAGATCAGGGAACGAGCTGGAAATGATTTGGATCAAAATGACTGACTTACAGAGAGCACACTCAATCATTACATCAGTCTGTGATCATATGGTTGGATTATGTGTGTGCGTGCTGTATATATTCAGAATTTATTTATAAGGGGGCCCCCAGCAGCTGCTCCCCATACTGTACGGGACTGATGTTACATATCTTGTACACATGGATCACTCTGCAGATCGATGCCAAATAAGAAGAGAAGAGGATGTGCAACGGACGTGATGACATCATGCAGCCGCAAGAAATGTTTGATGATGAAAACAGGACGAATGTCAACAGTTTGAAGCAGCTGTTCATCTTCATGTAACCTGGTACCTGGCGGCATTGCGAATGCTCTGATGTGTCATTATTTTTCTGCACACGGGCATATATTCTCTCTCAATAAAAGGCTTCGTGATTGTAATCCTGTCGTTGGCGTAAATCATTTCACCGTCTCTGCGTTTGAAAGAGTTTTTTTTTTTTGATTGTGCGTCGAGGGGAGAGGCCTCGTCGGAGCCTTGTTAGGTGGCGCTGGCCTCACGGCCGCATAATATATATACGGATTTAAGTTTCACTTACAGCCTTAGTGGACTTTAACACAAATCACCGTCCCGCCAATGAGCTCCAGTTAGCGGCCCACCTCCGCACCTGTCAGTCAACATGTGCTCCCCTTCCGCCCTCTCACCCCTTAGCTTTCGGATTTGGTTACAATTCCATCACCGCGCTCGGAGAAACGAGCGCCCCCTTCCCCTTTTTTCGCTGCCATCGTCCTGCCATAAAAGGGGGGAGGTGGGGAGGGGGGCTGTGGGATTTAGCCAAGGCCGGGAGACCTGAAACAAGCTCGACATCCTCGTAAAGTGTCTGACCGGATACAGAGTTTCATATCCGGAGGTGGTGGTGGGAGGGGGGGGGGGGGGCAATCCAGCCAGCTGTTACACTTGAGAAAGAAAAATGGGGGTGGGGTGGAAGACACACACAACCTGTACAGAATATTGTATATCAACCTCCAGGGCTCCGTGTGACGGCCTGTCGTGGTTTCCAACGTCCGCTCCTGTGAGGTGCTCACTCTCGAGTGCTCGGCCGCGATACAGCCGCTCCGCTCCAACATTTGGTGTTCGTCTCTTCGTTGGTCGTGGCTGTGGATTTGGCATCGGGGCGGATAGCTGAGCTTTCAACAGGTGCGTGATCCATGCAGCCTCGGACCTGCGGATGCATTCCCCTCCTCGCGTTTCACAACCAGAGATGCCCCTGAACAAAAACTCTCTCAGTTAAAACTAATTCAATCTCAGATTTTTTCCACTGGAGTTGTACAAAACCTTGAGATTTACTCTGGTTTAGGTCCTTCAAAGGCAGCCAAAGATGTCTCTTTACTCTGTGTAGCGTGCGTTCCTTCAAAGTGATTTTAAAATAGTCCATCTGCGCCGCACTCGCTTTAAGTCCGGAGTTTACGGCGTGGACGGATCCACGGCTCGGTGACATCACAGGCTCTGGTGTGGGAGCTTTTCCCGTTCGATGTGCAACCCGAAGCCTCCAGAGTGCGCGCATTCAGAGCGGACTCCTCGGTGAAGCAGGAGACGGCTTGTGTCGAAACTTTAGAAAAGACAAATCTCTGCATGCTTCTCCATTTTTATGAATTTGAATTGTATTGTCTAATAGTATTTTCATTTTTCTGGGATGAACATAATTGTTATTCAAAGCATATAACTTGATGATGTAAATTAAAAGTGTGGCGGGGATTTACAGTTTTGCTCTTAAGATGTTTCTATTCAACTTCAAAAAGTCCATGTATTATTATTATTATTATTTTACAAGTCAGCAATATCCCTCTTCTTAAAAACATGCAGGTTTGCTCTCCTTGCCACTACCGTTACCATTCTTTAATCATTTGTGTGATTTGCCATTCAGTGTGGCCGATATTATGTCTTTTCCCAGAGAAAAAAATTAAATATGTAAACGACAATCTGCAGTCAATACTGCAGGGATAATATCATATCAGAGTGTAAGTGAAATGCCACAAAGACGGATGACCTCTGACCTCTCTCCAGAGGCTACTCTTTAAAAACGAAAAGAGCTGCAGGAAACCTAAAAACAACTCAAACTGTACAACCACTAATGTGTAGCTATCCCTTAGGTCCCTGTAGGAACACCCGGGTCAAGGAGATTAAACTCGCACAAACACAACAAGCTGCAGGTCTCCCAGCGGCCCAATCAGAGCTTCGTCTGAGGAAATAAGACGGACACGTCGGTTAGAAAAGAAAGCTTATTATCTGTATGGAGTCTCCTTTATTATTCTCATAATGACACGGTTGTGTGTCGGCGGGACCGTGACCGTGTGTATGTACCAAAACGACAAAATAAAAGTATTAAATGTCTATGTACTTATATATGTACACACACACACACACACACACACACACACACACACACACACACACACACACATATATATATATAATACCGTATATAATATATATATATATATATATATATATATATATATGTATGTGTATATGTGTGTATGTATGTATATATATATATATATATAATACTGTATATATATATAATACTGTATATATATATATATATACGTATATATATATATATATATATATATATATATATATATATGTATATATATATATATGTATATGTGTGTATGTATGTATGTATGTATATATATATATATGTGTGTGTATGTATGTATGTATGTATATATATATATAGTGTGTGTATGTATGTATATATGTATATATATACACATATGTATATAAAACGTCAGTGTTTCTGTTCCATCCCGCGGCTGCGGCTCCCTCGGTTTAAATTACGTGGATCTGTTTTGACTCATCTCCGGTCTCAGATGAAAAATAGTCGCTTCAAGTTTCCTTCTTTTCTTCTTTTCTCTCTCTCTGTAAATGAAGCGCATATATTCTCAATGATTTGCTTTCTATTCAAAGCTGAGCCAATTTCTCAATGTTAACAGTGTGCAGCTCTGCGTTTGGAACACGACTGAATTATGTCCAGAAAGACATTCATTATGAGGACTTTTGATTATTTTTGCTCGACGCAGGGTGTTATGAGAAATATTCAGCCATGATTAAGGTCATATGTTTTCCAGTACAAATATTGTACAATATTTTCAAAAGAAACGAAACGTCGATAATGAATTGGCCGTGCTCCTAATGTGCTGCCCATTGAATTGTGTTATGGTGCCATTATGTCCAATATTTATATATATATTCGCTGCCCAATATGTTGCATAAGTGATTTCAGCTTTATATAACAGCCTCCTGTGTTTTAGCCTGCAACCTTTCAAAGAAGTGTAATATTCTTCCGTTAAAAGAAGCTGGAGGCGCAAAGAAAGTCACCATAATGCGCAAAGACCGCATTCAATTAAGACACATGATAAGTGAAAGAAAAAGTTAGAAAAATACATTGTAAAACGTTCTAGTGTACAGTTGTTTCCCAAAAACTATATTAAATGATATGTGTAATTAATCTGTTAACATTACGGTGTCCCGCGATATAAAGCTTTATCAGGTCGTTATTAACATTATCATTTATCCAGGCGTAATTGTTCGGATTAACGATCACCACGTGAAAGAAATTAATTATTTAAGAATTGTAAAACTTAATAAATGACCATTTGTCCTAACAATCAGGGCGAGTTCTCTGGTTAATTGGATGAATGTGATTAGAAGAGCTTAAACTGACAAAATGTGACGTCTCCATCACTTCTCATTTAGAGTCAGAAGTGAAGTATCGCATTTCACAAAGTCAAAATTGGAATGGATCCTTGAGATCCGCTCATACATTTTGCCCTGAACCTTTCTCTTATTTTTACAGCATTTATGATTGTTAATTTTATTACGTAATACAAATTAAAAAAGCTGAAAAAGTTGCAATATTCCAAACAAAATAAACCTCCAGCAAAAACATTTCAGTGTCGTCTGAACTCTTTCGAACAACTTCTCCGCACGAGGAAAAAGAGTTAATTAGCATCAGCGCCGAAATAAGAAAGTTTTCCAAACTCTCAGCAGAGTTTCGCACACACGGCTCTAAATCTCCAACCCCAGGCTCCCACGGCTGGCCCCGCCCCCCGCCGGCTCCGATTGGTCCGCTCCTATCAACCGGCGGCCGCGCATTCGCCTCCGCTGCGCCTATTGGCTGCTGCTGCTGTCATTCCACGTCACGTCCCCGTATAAATCTCCTGCTCCGGCTGCGAATTTTTTCATCAAACCCGAGATGATCCCGCAGCAGCAGCGCGGCGCGCGTGTCGCAGCTCAACCGTCTCCCGCATTGTAGCCAAAAACTATGATGTCAAACCTCTCAATGCCATTTCATTCCTGGATTTATCACTGGCTTTGCTTTTATATTTAGAGAAGACTCTTTTGTGTGTGAGTTTTTAATTTATCTCCTTAGTTTTAGGAGAGCATGCGCGTCATTTGGCGAGGATTGCCGAGGTGCCACCGGGAGTGAGAGTCGGGCAATATGCGCCTCTGGGATATGCGTTTCAACCGTAAGGCTTATGGAATATAGCCCGAATATAGCCTTGTGGTCCAGCCCCGTGAAGAAGAAACTAATCCTGCTCAGCATCATGTTTTTAATCTGGGTCTACATGCTGTACTCCTGCGTGGGCTACTGCTCCACCATGCCCAGCCCGCTGGTGGACGCTCGCCGGGCCAAGGAGACGGCCACGGCCGCGGGCAAGAGGACAGAGAGCGGCGGCGCGGACCTGGTGTCCAGACTGCTGGCCCAGCCGCAGCCGTGGGAGGATATAGAGAGCGACTACGAGGAGCCGTCCATCAGGACCGCGGCGTCCAGGGACCTGCTCAACGACGAGCTGGAGGCGGAGCGCGCCGACGACTGGGACGAGATGCGCGCGGAGCGCCACAGGGCGCCGGAGCCCAGCGCCATGTCCAGCTTCTCCAACGGCTCCGGGAGCAAGAAGCTGCCGCAGGCGATCATCATCGGGGTGAAGAAAGGAGGCACCCGGGCTCTGCTGGAGTTCCTCCGGGTCCACCCGGACATCAGGGCCGTGGGAGCGGAGCCGCACTTCTTCGACCGCAACTACGAGAACGGGCTGGAGTGGTACAGGTGAGGAGCGCGGCGCAGTGGGGTGGATGCGTGCGGGAGGAGAATGAACGCGGCCGTTTGAAGGAGGCAGTGATGGTATAGATGGGTCAGCCAATGTGGTTAAAAAAGAAGAAGTTTTATTTAATTTAGTGTTTACAGAGACGTTTCAAGGGTTTCTTTATTCGTCTCCCAGAAACATTTGCATCGTTAATGTCTCTGGGAGATGAATAGGCTAATTAACTCCAAATTGATTTAAGGAACCTCCATAACAGTATAAAATGTGTGTATATATATGACATTTTTTTCTTCATGTATTAGCCAGTGAGTGTAGAGTTTATGCCAAACTGAAACTAGATTTACGCGACGTTTGGCTGTGACATAGCTGCCCTTTTTTTCACCTCACATTATTGTACCTTATTAATTAGCATTAGATGATTTAAAGTTATGATCAAAGACGTGTTTGACCGTGCACGTTATTTAAAAAAAGAAGAAGAAGTATTGATCAGTTGTGTCGTTTCGGAGGCTGCGGGGATCGGCCCGTTCCCGCGATGCGCAGTGATCTCTGTTGGACGCGGCGCAACACTGCACCTCCACGCTGACGTGTCTCCGGTGCCTCTGTCCACTTACATTGTGCAATTATTTTATTTTTCCGTGTTCTTTTTTTCTATGTTTAGCATTTTATCAATTGTAAAATCGGATTTATTGGTTCGGTTTGTTCGGGCGTTATGGGAAAGTTCTGTTGGTTTCAGCTTTCAGCTAAAAACTTGACCCCGCAGATATTGTTTATTGCATTTCACTGCAAATCCGCGTGAATTTCTGCGCAACGAGGATGGCACAAATTGCCCAAATTTGACCAATCCCAGTGTGCTCCGAAACGATTCTCAAAACTTTCTTTTATTCTACTTTCCGGGGATCGAAAACAAGTGTTTAAAGCGTCTAAAACGCGTGAATCCTTCTGACCGTTATGTCAAAGGGCTCCACGAGGCGCGAGGAAAAACACAGCGAATAAAACCCGCTCACCGTCCTCAGAGGTCGACAAAACTCACGTTATCCTTTACATTACCACGACAACGTGTCGATCTAGTGAGCTGCTCGTTTCTTATGTTTATTTTATAAGCAAATAAACGGGCAAAGGTCACGGCTCATAAATCACCTAATTGGCTATTTGAGTTTGAACTCCAAATTGGCAAATTACTTTTATGATAAACTGTCAAACTGTATTTTGCTTTTTTTTTTAATCAAAGATTTCATCTGGAGTCAAGGCCCATCTGGGATATTGATTAAAAAACAACTTCTAAGTTTGGGATGGGCTCTTTTTCTACACTCTGAATGTGCAAGAACTTGAAGTGGGCCCCCACCCATGGGCGACACTGAATGGGCACAATTCAAACTGAATAATCTTCCTTGATTTGTGTGAAGTTTCCTGCTCTCCCTTTGGTAGAGGCACAGATTTGCTCTTTGGAGTTTGGGATTCTGTTATTTCACTCCCACACGGCAGCGCTTTCCAGCTTTTCTGCGTCTGCTATAGTTTTGTAAGGCAATGAAAGCTAATTCCTTTGGAGACGCATAAAGAAGCCACGGCTGAAGGTTTCATTTATCCAGGGGTGGAATGGAAGCATATTGTCTTAAGCAAAATCTCATTTTACTCCATTTCCTTTTGCTGTCACCAAAAAAATAAAATAATATCTTCAGTCTGACTCACAGAAACAGACTGAGAACTCTTTTTTTTCTTTTTTTAATTCGGCATTAAAAGCAAGAGAAGAGTTTGGATTATTTGTGTGGTATGAGGCATTTCATGCTGCGACTGGATACACAAACAGTGGTGTTTACGGCGGAAAAAAGTCCATCAACGCGTCCTAGAAGTGATCTCTCCCTGTTTTTGTTTTTTTTCCAATCGCTCTTCACCCGCAAAAGATGTTTCAGTGAAACAGCTGGCGTGAGCGAAGCAGTCTGACTGCTTCTGCTTCTCGAGCAGGATACAAAGAGATGACCGCTGGAATGTTCCCCACAGAGAAAAAAAATAAAAGAAATTGCGTGACATTGGAATAAATTCTCTGGGAATATTATCTGACTGGTTATTTATGGAGGCTGCGTGTGTGTGTGTGTGTGTGTGTGTGTGTGTGTGTGTGTGATACTTGAGCAACGCACCTCTCCTTCATTGTCCATGTGCACAATCTCTCTGCGTCCCACTATGGTACCCCCCCCTTAACCCCCTCCCCCCCCCCCAATGGTTGCACATTTTGAGCTGGAATTCCGCCGAGTCAATGCAGCCACAGAAGGGAGCAGAAGCGACCTGGAGGGGGAAGCCATGAATGGAGGTGGCGTTAACAAGTCGCATTGTGGATTTGTGATGCACTTTGACGGTTTTTCATTTGTGCCAAAGACAAACACGCGATTCATGCCTTTGACCGAGGGGGTCCTTGTATCAGGAGGTACACATTTTCACAGTGAGGTCATGCATGAACTGGCCCAGAGGCGCACGCGCACACACACACACACGCGCGCACACACACACACACACACACACACACACACAGTGTGACTGGGAGAACAGGGACGCGCCTTTCGTTATTGCTCTTTTTCTATTCGCGCCTGTTTAGTGGTTTTTCGTGGTTTTCTTCAGCATTATACGTTGAGAACCAGCCTTAAGTTTCAGATAACGTCAGCACACTATTGAGTGTAATCATCCTGCTTGGTTCTATGTATTATGTCACACTCGAGTACTATTATGCATCCTGTTGTTGCATGCGTTTATCCTTTGTGTTTTTTTTTTTTTTTTTGTCTCCCTGCACAATGACAACAGATGCAAATGCTCTTTAAGCTGCATTCAGTTGCATTACTTATGCAAAACTGACAATGAAATAAGTCAATGAGGAAAATATTATTCTTTTGTGGCAATTAAAGCAACGTTGCAAGCTGAATGTTGCGCCTCTCAAAGCAAGACAAAACATTTAAAGGCAAAGAAACGTTACTAAAACACAGGGGAGAAACTCAACAAACAACAAGAAAGTTGACTTAAAAATTTGTTCAAAATGCAGTATTTTCTTTTGACTGTTTGCACCAAAGCTGGCAACAAAAGGAGCATCACCTGGTTTCACAGTTGCATCTAAGATGATCAAACTTCTTGAAAACAAACAAGAGGCATTTTATTTACTCCTAACTCTTGTTGACTCCTGCATTAACTCGCCCTGTCAGTCTGTCGCTCTCTTGGTGTTTCCATTGAGCCCTATTGGCCACGAAGGGGCTTGGATGTATAAAGACTGTGGTGTGGTTTTGCTGTCGTGGGCTCACAAACACGTGAGTTATTGGTCCTACTGCCGCACGCGTGGTTGTGCTGCTGTTTTTGTAGTGTTGTGTGTTATTTGTTCGCCGTAGAGGGAAACTTTAAGGTGAGATGTTTGTGAGCCGCTCGTTCATAAGGATATAGGATATCCCTTTGAGCACGCACACACACACACACACACACACACACACACAGCTATGCAATATTCAGTCCTCCTGTGATGTGGTTGGTGATCAAAGGTTGGGCTCCAGTCGCTGTCGGGCGACTGGTGGGACTGAATCCGGCGCCATCTTCCGAGCAGGATGTCTCTCTGGTCAACCTTTGTATCTAGTCGGTGATAAAACACCGTGGAGGTGAACAGACCTGCAAAGTAGCTTATAGCGCCAGACACACACACACACAAACACACACACACAAAAAGAACAAGTGGCGCTTTGTTGAAAAACAGGCTCCCTAAGAAAGAAAAAGAAATCGCTATCAGACACTTGCGGAAGTCTGCGCCGTTTGAAAGCCGCTGTCTAAAGGCCGGTCTGCCCCCCCCCCCGACTACCCCCCACTTGTGGTAGTTGAGCCGGAGTCAGCCTGCTGCTCCCAGCCATGTCAGGGACAGTTCTGGATGGGTGCACGTCCTTTTATCTGCTCACCACAGGGGTGCTCCTATTTCCATGTAGGTGACCCGTCCACCCTCTGTTGCCACTGACCTCGCCCTCCTTCCTTCCTTCCTTCCTTCCTTTTTCTCAATGGACCAAAAAAATAAAATAAAAAAAAGGCCACCTGGTCCTTTGGAGCCCCAGTGAAGGGCATCAAATCGTCCCCGTTCACAAAAAAAAAAAAAAATCTCCGCGCCAGTGTTTGCATACATGGGGATGTTATGTGGAAAGCCGATACGTCTAAAGCGCCGCGACGAGCTCAGCTGCGGTGCCGTCACGAGCCACAAAAGAAGGGAAACGCTCAGGCGGCGTGCGCAAATGTCAGCGTGGCCCCTCCCCTCGGGGGGATAGCCTGTATTGATCGGTCAGGCCTGATTGGAGGTAATGTGCAGAGACGGTGTTAAGGGCCTTTGACTGGGGTCAGACCCGCGTCTGCTCCCCGACGGGGTTCTGTGTGTTGACCATCTGCGGGGCCACAGAAAGCCGCCTGGAACCTACGGGGGCCCCGCCGGGGATGTTACATGTTCCTCATAGAAAACAATAGCGGGACGGCATGGCTCTTGAGCCCACTTTTAAGAATTACGTTCACCAAGGATGATTGCGGCTTGTTTTAGTTCTTTTGTGGCCAAAAATCCGGTTACAGTTCCAGAGAAGACAAAGATGGATCCAGATGACGTGATCCTTTCGGCGCTGCGATCGTTTTTCCCCGATTCCCCCGGAACTCGACCGGGCCCCTCGCGGGGCCGCAGCGGCCGATCGAGCGTCCAGCCGACGGCGGTGCCCACGCGCTCGGCTCCAATCCTCTCCCGCCGCGGCCGTCGAAAAGGCCCGTCGATTTCCGACTGTGCCTCTGTGCTAAACTTCCACTTCGTCGTTCCCAGATGAGCGGATTATTTGTTAAACGGCTTCCCGTTGCCCCCCGTCCCCCCCGTCCCCCCCGAGAAGTCGCCTTCAAATCCGTCCCGTTCTCCAGCTGTGCTCTCGCTCTGCTGGTGCGTAAGAATAGTGTCACGCGTCCTGCTCGGTCGGTGCGTTCCAGGGCGCGGCCTCTCTGAAGAGGAGCTTTTGGTCAGTGTGGAGAGGGAGGG